ACGCACCTCGTCACAGTGCTCAAGGTGCACCGAGATATGGGGAGATATGGGGGAGCTATGGGGGAGATGTGGAGACGCACCTCGTCACAGTGCTCAAGGTGATTCATTACCAGCTAGGTAGCAGCCAGCTAGCAACCCAGCCGTTAGTTTGCAGCTGCTCAGCGTGTGCCCCGACGGGTAACGTTTGGCAAGAGATCCGCAGCAGCCAGCCAGCAACAATGATCCTTTTCTCGCGTCCACCCGCCGTGCTACGACGACCCGCTTGCGTACTACTCGATCCGCAGTGAGCTCACCGCCGATCGATGAGCTGACTTAAGGTGTACTACGACGACCCGCCCCCGTACTACTCGATCCGCATGCCAAACGGCGTCGAGCGAGACATCGCCGAGCCGGCCGGTTGATACTCAGTTCTCACGAAGCCACTAAGAATGAGTTGTTCATTGCTAGGCACCGAGCGCAACACGGTGCGCGCGTCCGCCGCGGGCGGCGGCGGAGGAGAGGGGAGGTTTCGTCACTCGCCCGAGTGTCCGCCCCTCCTCAGGTGCGCGAGAAGCTGCGGGTGGCGACTGCGGAGGAGATTGCGCAGGGGGCGCCGTCGGCGCCGCCCGCCGCCCCGCCGCCCGCCGCCGGCCCGCCGGAGATGGCTCCGGAGGCGGAGGCGCGTGTGGAGCCGCCAGTCTCTCGACTGAGCCCGCCCGCTCGTCACCCGCCCGACCCCACTGCTGCGTAGTCGGCGGACGAGTTCGGCGGCTTTGGCGGCGCGGCGGCACCGCCACCGGCGCCGGCGATTGGCGTGGCGGGCGGCGTGGCGTTGGGCATGGCGGGCGGCGTGGGCGGCGGCATGATGCAGGGCGGCGTGATGCAGCAGGGCGGCGTGATGCAGGGAGGCATGATGCAGCAGGGAGGCATGCTGCAGCAGGGCGAGGCGGGCGGCGGCGTGGCGCAGGGAGGCTTGCCTGCAGACGCCTTCGGCGGGCTGGCGTCCTCCCTCCCCCCACCCCTTCTCGGAGCCTTCTCGGAACCTTCTCGGAACTTTCACCGTAGGCGGGCTGGCGTCCGTCCCCCCCCACCCCTCCGCACCTCCGGACACGGACGCCACAGACTTTGGCGGGTTTGGCGACGGAACGGGGCCTTTCCGCCCCCCCCCCCCGCCCCCCCACCCACCCACACACCACACCCACACACACACACACACACACACACACACACACACACACACACACACACACACACACACACACACACACACACACACACACACACACACACACACACACACACACACACACACACCACACACACCTCCCCACCCCACCCCACCCCCCACCCCCACCCCCACCGCACTTCCGCTCTGCGAGCGGCGTTTCTTCGCACCGGACGACCGCTCGCGCAAGCAGGCCCAGCCTCCCTCCGACGCGGCCGACGAGTTCGGAGGGTTCGGCGGCGCTGCTTACCCGCTGGCAGGAGGCGCCGCCGCAACGCCGCCGCCGACGGCTGGGGATGAGTTTGGCCAGTTTGGAGGGGCGGCACCGGAGGCGGCCACTAGCAGCCCCACTTAGAAGTCGCACTCGCACTGAACTTGCAGTTCTAAAGCAGCGCACTCTCAGCATGTCAACTCGCTCCTGCGTTGGGGGAGGGGCGGACCTTCGGGGGGGCGCTCCTGCCTCCGCGCCTGACGCATCGCTTAAGCTGACG